AAGACTCTCATTGTTAAAGGGACAGTTCACCCCCAAATGAAAGTTGTCATCATTCACTTACCCTCAAGCTGTTCCAAACCCGTATGAGTTTCTTTCTTCTGTTGAGCACAAAAGAACAACTGAGTACATGACAAAATTTCCATTTTTGAGTGAACTGTCCCTTTAAACTGTCAGTGTGAGTTTTACCTCAAACTCTCCTCTGTTCACCCTAGAGCACTGCAGCTAACTTTACAGTTAAACTTTAAGTGCACTTGAGAAAGGAGCTTGTGTGGCATAGAAACATTCACATTCACCATAGACTCTTTCCCAAGTCCTTAGAATCACATTTCTGCCTTTTTTTCACAGCTTTAGTCTTTTACATCGCAGACGTTTGACAGATGGGCTTGTTTGAGGAATGAGGATGTGTCAGATGTGAGCTTCATGACTCTGAAATATTGACTGAAGTCAAGTCTATCCTGTGTCATATTCATCTCTGCCAACATAGATCTGGAGATGCTAGTTAGATGAATCTTGGTCGATTCTGTCTATCACAATTTTATTATTTTTTTGGTTCGTAATTAATAGCATTGCTTTATGCATTGAGGCCTTTATGGATGCTTCAACCAGAAACATCTTGCACATATGTGATGTATATTATTATATATTTTAGATTTTTTTTAATACATGTATTTATTTAATAATTTGTTTATTTGATCATTATTAGCATTTTAATTTCATAGAAATTATGGTGACTTCCTAAGATGAAATTTATTTATGCAAATGTTTTCTGATGATCACTATTTATTTATTTATTTATTTGCATTTTAGTTTTAGACACGGTTTCCTTTACATTTTTTTATTTTTTATTTTCATTTCATTTTTTTATTTAAGAGCGTTTTTATGTATTTTACATGTTTATTTAATTTATTTTATTTTAAATAAATGCTTTTAAAGCATTTTAGTCTTAGACCCCTTTTCCATATGATTACTGTGAAACTTAATTGTCCAACTTGTTTTCTTATTTAGCATCTCTGTTTATTTGTTTGTTTCATACATGTATTTATAAATCTTTCCTTTTAGACACCATTACCTTTTTTTTACTTTTTCATTTTCTTCTACAAATGCCCTTTGCTAATGAGCGTACAGTGACATAATAGCATGGAATGGTTCTTGAATTGGAGCAGGATGAACATTTTAGCACAGTGGAACCAGCAGACTTGAAGGGTCCCAGCAAAGGAACTATGTTAGGACGTGCGACACTGGAGAATGTAAGAGCCTGGCATGAAACATGGCTAATGCCAAGAGCCTTGAATTAAACATAGGACGGATGAAATACGGCTATTAGCCAGGAATGGCAGTCATCCATATGGGCTCCTGAGACCCTGGAGGAAGGGCTACTAAACAAGTGGCTGCATGCACACATTTAGACTAGAAGGATAGAAATGTGAACAGTTAGAAAGATTGGAAATGAATGAACAGATGGACTAGAACTCACATGTGAAAATACTGTGTGCATTATATATATTGTTAGTCTGATCAGACCAGTACTAAAATGGAAACTCAGTGCATTTCTATAGAAAATGCATTTGGATTTACTATTTAGCTGGGTTTATTATCATTGCATGTCCTTGCAACAGAATGCTCCAATAGTTCTGCATCCTGCATACTGGACGCCACCTCATTTATTCATTACTTAGCATAAGATAAGTTTATACTCAAGCACTTGAGCTTGACAAATCTGAGCATGTTGCTTATTCAGCCCACCTCTGTCACTCTTTCAGGTGTGTTTGCTAGCATTAGTCTGCAAAATCAGCCTGGAAAAGCTGCAGAATCGCTCACACAAACATACACACACACCATACTTTTATGCCTTGTTACTTTTTTCCAGCCTGTCAGAAGAGTGAAAGTGAGGCTTTTCAGAGCATGAAGGGAGCCTTGTGTGGGAATTGGGCTCCACATAAACACAACATAAAGAGTTGATGAGGTTTTGATCTCACCGTTGCTTGTGAGTTAAACCCACCTACACTCCAGCAATGGTGAAGGGGGTCCACGTGAGAGAAAACGCGTGTCTGCTCATGGTGAGCGGTGAAAATGTAGGGAGGGATTTTCTGTATGCATCTGTATGTGTGCCACGGCCAACTGAAAACATTTCAGAAGCAAAGAGATACCTGTTAAGGATCACACAGCATTTATAAGCTCCTTTCTCACTTCTGATTCTGCCTGTTGTGTGAGTTCACTGCTTTGTTTTTCCAAATTAAAGCCACACTTTATGAAATAATTTATAAGCACATGTTCCAGTGTTCTCATTTCTTGTTTATAGGGGTTTGTCTGGTTATTACTGTCCACGGGACTCTCTCTATTCCGTCTTTTATTACTGTTTGCTGGCAAGGGAAACATTTGCAATGTCTGTGACTTGCTACATTCATTAAACCTTTTAATCCTGCGGCCATTTATAAGTTGCCGAAGGCTCTACCACTGATTTTCTTTCTGCGAATATTGTTTTGGTTGCTATAAAACTGGCATATAAGTAGACAACTTTAGGAAGAGCTTTTGACAACTTGCTGGATAATGTGTCATGTGGTGGGTAGGTTGTTTTCTCTGAAATGCACCTGGCAACTTTGTTATTATCTCAATCTTTGCATAGGTTTCTATGGGAGTTTCTATATAGAGATAGAAGCAGCCAGCCAGTCAGTCATTATTGCAGAATAAACCCTGACAGCATGACCAGAGCCGCTGTTTACCAAGTAAATAAATGAACATGCAGTAATATATTTGAAATTATTTTATTATGCCAGAAGAAAGATTGTGGAGTGAAATAAAATACTTGAAACTATAGCAAAGTGTAGTTGATTCATTGTCAGTGGTCAGACATTATGCAAAATCAAACATTATGCAAAAATACTGGATAGTAGAAGTGCAATACTGCAGAGTATGAAGAATAATATAAATAATTAGATTTTCAGAAATCTCTGAAATAAAAAAAAACAAAACAAAACTGGGCATTAACGGGTTAAGTTGACAATTTTAGTGGTACCTTCAGTACACTACTGTTCAAAAGTTTGGGCTCTGTAATATTTTTGAAATAATTAGTTATAGTATATCTAATTAGTATATTTTATGTTCACCAAGGCTTCATTTACTTGATCAAAAATAGAGTAAGAAGAGTAATATTGTGAAATATAATTTATTTCTGGAATGGCAGAGCTGAATTTTCAGCAGTCTTCAGTGTCACATGGTCCTTCAGAAACAATTATAATATTGCTGCTCAAGAAGCATTTATTTTTATTATCATTTTTTGAAAATGGTTGTGCTGCTTAATATTTTTGTAGAAACCATGATACATTTTTTTTTTATTAAGTATTTATTTTAAATATATTTATTTTAAAAAATGTAACATTATATAAAAATGTCTTTACTGTCACTTTTGATCAATTTAATGCATCCATAAATAAAAGTATATTCTTTAGTAAAATAAAATAAAATAAATCAATTAAAAAAAAAATATTACAGCCCCCAAACTCTTGAAAGGAAGTGTAATTGCAGTTTACTATTAAAACCTATGTTGTGTCATTCTTTTTTAAAATTTTATATATATACATATACACACAGTTTTTGAGTGATTTTCCTTACATAGTTCACGACTATCAGTTCCACTGACTCTGTGCCCCTGGTTCAGTGTATATAGATCAATGCAGCCTGAGAGAAGTTAGCAGCTTGTAATTAGTCTTCTGCCTTTCTGTCTGTTTACATTATTCATGCAGAATACATTATAGCCCGAGCCCCTTTATGCAACTAGAGACGTTCATTATGGTCAAGAACTGTAAAATACCATAATGCCAGTGTTAAGGATTCACACCAGAAATCAGTGAACACAGAATGTGCCGAGAGTTACATTATTGAGGTTTATGACTTCACATATATCTGTACACAGCAATAAGGCCGGTTAATTCATGATGCCATTGTGAAAGTGTGATCACATAAGAAGCCTGAATCCCACTGTAAATCCACTGAACAGTTTTCACTCAATGTCTAAAAGTGTTGCGTAATTTCCTTAAGTTATGATGTGATCGGACAATATATAGTTCTATTGTATACTGTAATCAGAGTTTCTCCAGGCAGGAAACTTTCCTGTTTGATGGTGCATCTTCTTATTTAGTTTTGGTGGCTTTAATTGTGTCCCCTTGGGCCCTCCGCTGGCAGTAATTGTGAAAAATGAGCTGGTTTCTGTCTGGTACCACTTTGCTCAGACGGCACCCTGTATAGACATTAGCATTCTTATATTTAATTTCGATGTAAATGTTCGAGCTCAACCCCTGAATCGGTACATGGCATCTGAGGGACCAGCCACACATTTTCCCACCCCATGATCAATTACTAGCGGTGAGCTAAAAAGATGAAGGAACTCTGGGTCATTTATTCCCCACAAGTAAATCAAGAATAATAATGACGAACATAATGACAAAAGCACCGTTGACCCTGTAAAACGTTTCGGTGGACTGACCTCATTTTCATGACAGAGAAAGTGATTTTAGCCTTTGACATGTTATTTGTTAAAGCTGTAATAACTAAATTATGTTATCGCTAACAATAATGTGATAATTTATTACAATTTTTCCTTGCTTTCTTTTCCAAAACGGATTATAACAGTGGGATAGAAGGACATCATTTACACGACACAGTTACATAAATAAATTTGCATTACTTCTGCTTTTTTGAACTCTTTATTACTCACTTTAGCAACAACAAGATAAAAATGTCTGCTGATAGCTTGGATGTAGTATATGTTTATCTTTATGTTTATCTCAGTGTATGTTTATCTCAGTGTGTTCCTTGCTGTTGCTTTATAATTATTTGTGAAATTTGCGGTCAATTTCTGAGTGAATATTGTTCCAAAGTACTTTTTTATCTGCATAGGTTGCAATAATGTCATTCATTTAAATTCTGAACAAAACTTTTGCTATTTTTCTGTGACTGCATGTATTTTCTATGTACTATTCCTTAACTTCTGCTTCCCACATGGTTCGAGAGGGCCAGCATGTTGGTAATCCTGCTGAACTGCATTACTCTGGGGATGTTTCAGCCTTGTGAGGACAGCCACTGTGAGACTGAGCGATGCAAGATACTGGAGGTAAGTCTCATTCCTAGAATACACAACCTTTTGTAACCCAATGCACTTTAAATAGATCAAAGAACAGATGGTAAACAAATTAAAATGTAACTGGACACAGACTTGAAATTAACTTGGTGTTAAAATTAAATCCAACAACTTTTACAACTCAAAAAATGGGGGTTATTTTGAGGTGTTTGTCATCATCTCTCGTCGAGCTCTGGGTTTCTCTAGATATCCTGAAGCATGTTGTGTTGAATGACTTCCAAAAGACACTGGAATGCCCAAAACCACATGTGGTGATAGGCAACAAAGAGATCCTCGCCTGTAATTCAAAGCAGATTATCACAGGAAAAACACTGCTCTGGTTTATCATTGACTAGGGAACATGGCTCAGGGACTTTGACTTCAATCTGCTAAATTCCTTTTGCTGATGAGTGTTTTGCCCTAAGGATTTCAGAGAGCTATCCTCTCTTTTCTGTTGTGGATGTATTTTATCATTCTGGGACCCAGCAACAATTCACTTTTGTCCTCCATAGAGGACATATTATTTTATATAAAAATAACAATTAGGGGCATTGGCAGAGGATATGTACTGTATAAATATATATATATACACACTCTAAAAAACAACCCAGCGCTTGCGTAAAATGAAAACCAGTCAGTATCTGGTGTGACCACCATTTGCCTCACGCAGTGCAACACATCTCCTTCGCATAGAGTTGATCAGGTTGTTGATTGTGGCCTGTGGAATGTTGGTCCACTCCTCTTCAATGGCTGTGCGAAGTTGCTGGATATTGGCAGGAACTGGAACACACTGTCTTATACGACGATCCAGAGCATCCCAAACATGCTCAATAGGTGACATGTCCGGTGAGTATGCTGGCCATGCAAGAACTGGGATGTTTTCAGCCTCCAGGAATTGTGTACAGATCCTTGCAACATGGGGCCGTGCATTATCATGCTGCAACATGAAGTGATGGTCGTGGATGAATGGCACAACAATGGGCCTCAGGATATCGTCACGGTATCTCTGTGCATTCAAAACGCCATCAATAAAATGCACCTGTGTTCGTTGTCCATAACATACGCCTGCCCATACCATAACCCCACCGCCACCATGGGCCACTCGATCCACAACGTTGACATCAGCAAACCGCTCACCCACACGACGCCATACACGCTGTCTGCCATCTGCCCTGTACAGTGAAAACCGGGATTCATCCGTGAAGAGAACACCTCTCCGTCCTCATCGGGGTCTCGACCTGACTGCAGTTCGTCGTTGTAACCGACTTGAGTGGGTACAGTAAAACTGCACATTTTAGAGTGGCCTTTTATTGTGGCCAGCCTAAGGCACACCTGTGCAATAATCATGCTGTCTAATCAGCATCTTGATATATGCCACACCTGTGAGGTGGATGGATTATCTCGGCAAAGGAGAAGTGCTCACTAACACAGATTTAGACAGATTTGTGAACAATATTTGAGAGAAATAGGCCTGTTGTGTACATAGAAAAAGTCAACTCATGATAGATAGATAGATAGATAGATAGATAGATAGATAGATCTTTTTTAAACTTTTGTTTTGTCAGATGCATTCTATGCTCTAAATACTGTCATGAAGTGAAGAAAATTATAAATTTCCAAAACTTTTTTCTGGCTCCTAGAAGTTATATAACACTTTCAACCTCTGTTCCTCTCTATGTGATCCCTCTAATGCTATGGGGGTGTCATAAGCGTTTGGAGGACTATATAAAAACAAATGAGCCTGAAATGGCCTGGCCCTAGAGAGGATTAAACCACATTAAATGAAGTGCCTAAAACACGACTTCAAAGCCACTCATCCACACAGCCATTGTAATCAGGCATTTTAGAATACAGTGTGACTGATTGTGACATGAGGTGAATCACCTCTTATTTCTGAGTTATTAAGCTAATGGTTGCTGTAATGAATGATACTAAACTGTGATCTTTACATTGTGACAGTGGGTCAAGTTCACTGTACAGAGTGTGAGTGAGATGTGATTATAAATATTATATTTAAAGGCAAACTATCACATAAATCATACAACAATTGTGCAGTGGCTTGCATCCAGACTTGATTTTGAAATCAATATTGACATACTCTTGAGAAAATACCTAGAGGAATAATTGAATAGTGCTTATTATTTAGTAGAATATATGTATAAAACACACACACACACACACACACACGATGAAAATCCAGTTTTTTTAAGTATATTGAAACAGAAAACAGTTCTTTTTAAATTGTGATAATATTTTACAGTATTTCTGTTTTTTTTTTACTGTATTTTTTATCAAATAAATTCAGCCTTTGTGAACATAAGTCTTAGAAACAAATTAGTGTGCTTTGCCAGAAATAAGATTGCAAACCTGGTCATCAAGAAATTTACAAAGACATACAATCAGCTCCCATCACTGTCAGGGAGACACACCTGGACTCCATAGCTGACGTGACTCAGGTTAGCCCTCGGCATGAGCTCCAAAAGAATGCCTTTGGTGGAATAATGGAATTCAGGGAAATACAATAAAGCTGTGGAGCATGCCTGCCGTCTCTCTCTTTCTCTCTGTGCCACTTCTCTTCTGCCCACACAACACATTATCATTTATTTCTTCAGTGCTTTCCTCTTTTCTTTTTTTCCCTCTGCAGGCATTCCTCATTTCTTATGGAAATGTTTTATTTTCTGTCACTACATATCATTCTAAATACATGACTTTCTTCTTTGAAACACAAAAGAATATATTTTGAAAAATGTCTGGGAGTTTTCATATAATATTAGTCAGTTTAGTGAATTTGCTGCTTTGGTCCCCATCGGCTTTCATTGCATGTCTTAAAACATCTTTCGAGTTTTTATAAAAGAAAAAGTCATATGACATGAGTGTGAGTAAATGATGCCAAATTTTTCATTTGTAGGTGAACTAGTTCTTTAAGTACCAAATTCCAGCATTAGGATGTGCATGTGTGTTATTATGCAAGCTTTAGTTGAGTCGAGGGTGTAGATAAGTGGTTTCTGGGGCAGAAAATGAGTAGTATCATGTTTAAGAGGAGAGCTCACTGTGAGTTTAACAGTACCGATTGGCTATTATTCTTTTGTCGTATCTTTATTTTTCTCTCCCTTTTTATTGCTCCCTGTAAGTGTGTCTGTGTGGATGATGAGATTCTTATGCATGGTTTGAACTACATAACTCTTGTACAGTACAGTATGATCTGTTCTGGCTTGGTTTTCTTAGCATTCTCTTCAGGTGAAGTGAGCATATGTTGTTCTTTTTGTCAGCTGTTTTGCTGAGGAATTCCATTTGCCTTGGAGTAATTCAAATAATGACACTTGTGGTTTATTGCTTACGAGGGGATGATGCAATGAGTGCAAAAAAGAAGAAAACTTTAGTGTAATTTCTTTGTAGCTTTGTATCTGTAAGTCAAATGTGCCTTATGCACAAAATCTCTAGAAATCATAGAAGGTCTGTCATCGCATACCCTCATACCCTTACAACTAAATGGTGAGCAGGGGCTATTGAGCTCCAGGAAGGATAAAAATCACCATAAAACTTATCTGTTCAACCCATGAGCTGTTTCCAAAGTATTGTGAAGCTTTATGATATCTTTGTATAACCTAAGAGGTAAATAACACTACAAAGTTTTCAACTAAAAAACGAAAACTTTTTAATGCATTTTGTCTGTTTGGCTGTTCATTTACATGAAAAAGCCAACTTTTAAAAACTGATTCAAAGTGCAAGTTTTTTAATATGATACAGCTATTGTTTCTGTATAAAATACAAAAAGCAATGTTATCCGTGTGAATAGGGATTGTTTTGTTGTCTTTATGCAAGTCTTTTCAATAATGCAACAGAAAAACATTTCATTTTTTTGTACATTGTTGTGTAAACTAAGGCTAAGTTCACATTGCGAGCCTAATGGTTCAATTCCGATTTTTTCTCAGATCCGATTTTTTTGTATAGCTGTTCACATTGTTGTTTTAAATGTGGCCAATATCAGATTTCCAGTGTGAACAGATCATGGTTCTGAACTGACCCGCATGTGCAAAAGAACAATACGAACACGGTTTCCAGATTTTCACAACAAAATCCGCCCAATTCTTTCTCAAAACTAGTCCAAAACTAGCCCAATCATGTTCAGGGAGGTAAACATCGCGTTAGTGGGGTTGCGTCAACCCACGAAGTTGAAAAACATCTCACGGCAACAGAGGAAATGTAGCCTAATTCCACGGGGAAACTGTGGATTTGGCAACACTTGCGCAGCGTGCCGTCATACGGAAGTAAACACGGAGGATATAAAGTAAGCGATTATGCGTTTATTTATAGTGTGATAGCGAAATTATGAAATAATGACAAGGTTGTGACAAAAGAAAGCAGAGTTTTGAAACTTTTATGATACGAGCCCTCATGTTTTGCTTGTCGAGTTGTCACTGTAATACACATGAGTTCTGACACATCACACTTTCACTGATTACCTTTCGCTACTGTCTTGATAACTTTGGGAATGTAAAATCTTTAAAGTGTCTCCCGTCAGCGCGGAATTATGACGAATGTCGATCTAGAGTGACGTAAAAGCCGCATAAAATCCGACATGACCGTTCACACTGCGGTCGCATTGCAAAACATCTGACATGGATCGGATTTAGTACCACATATGGAAGTGGCACAAATCAGAATTGAAAAGATCAGATT